TTTGGGTCTGCGTTCGGCCCGAATGGCCGAATGCATCCCCAAGGGGTCCCATACGTTCGGGCGTTCGGCCCGTCCCGAACGACGGTCACCCTGTATATATATTCCATGCATCTTTCATGCATGATCCACGCATGAAATAAGTCATGTCCATCTCGCTGCGAACATCTGCAACGACGTACGTGTTTATGCCAAGGTGGGTGATTCATTCAGTGGGTTGTATGATAGAGAGCAAAGGACAGAAAACATGCAGTCGTACAACATGCCGAGTTGAATCGACATAGAGACGAAACACAGTAATCACAGCAAGAACGCTGTATTGAAAATGCCAGCGCACCCAATTCCACCATCATACCACACACCCAAGAATCTGGACTACGCTTCACATTGAGTTTAACTGGGATTGGATTGACTTTTTATATCATTATTTGTTTTTCTTTCATTGTTTCATTTTTATTTCCAAAGTTCGATGCCAAAGTTCAACCTCGGACTTGGATTCCCCAAGGATGCAACCACTTCCTTTTTCTTGCAGATCAAACTAAACATGCAAGTCCGGTAAAATGGTTCTAGAACCGGAATGGTAAGCCCATTTTGAACCTAATTCTTATGGTTTTAGGCCAGGACGTAGTTGTCAGCTTGCCATGGAAGCTCTAGTGAGGGTAAACATAACAAAAGAGGGCACCGATCAAGACATCTCCATTGTGAGTTTCAGGGAGAAACAAAACATGGCTGAATCCACATCTCCTTCAAAACGACTGGTTATACTGCTCGAAAGTGGGTCGACTGTCCAGCTAGTACCAACGTCTACTTCCACTAAAGACAAACTTAGAAGAAGTAATGATAATGGTGGTACCAAAACCAAAATTGATATTGTTTAATTGTGGAAAGTCCATATCAGGCGCGCCAATGAAAATAGGAACAAACCAGTTTCCCAACTCACCTATAAGAGTAGGCATTACCATAAAAAGTAGCATAATATAAGAATGAAAGCGTTTGCATCCCACAAAGGCTTTTTCACATGCAAGGATTCGATTGTTTTAAAGGATACCACGAAATGTATCCGAAGACTTAAAACCTTAGGTTTCCAGCTAGTAATTGCGGACTAAATTTTCAAAACCAGTTGATCATGAGCCCATGACACACACAGACACACACCCATGCCCACCCAGCGGCACACACACACACACACACACACACACACACACACACACACAATCAGTTTTATGTTTGTCTGTATGTTTCTTGTCTTTTTTTTTCCGCCGATTTTTTCCTAAGTACTTTCTATCTGTTGGAGTGATGTCTGTTTTCCTGTCTTTTTTCTTTCCCCCGATTTTTTTATTTCTGTCTGCTGGTGTAGCACCCTCAAGAAGTGCTAAACAGGAGGTGGTCCAGTGTTTGGAGCACCAACAGCACTCTTTAGGGAGGCCGCTCGGTTTGGGATGTCTGTGTTGCCTGTGGGTGATGACAGATGTTCGTCTAGGTGACTCCCTGGCTCAACGGGTGGTGGGAACCAACAGTCTGCGGGGTTCAATCGTGATGTGAGTAGGTGATGTGTCACTTTGCTCCGTGTTGGATGTGTAGACTGCCTTGTGTGTGCTCCGCCGCTAACTTGCTGCCCGTCCTGCTTGTGTTGCATGTAGTTCTTTGCAAGGCTGTTGTGTTCACAGTGTGGTGTGGTTGTCGTGTTAGTGTTGCCCTGTGCTTTGCTGGGCTGCTGCCTTGCTGCCCATCCATGTGTCGTGCCTTCCACGCTCTTTGCTTGTGTGTCGTGTAGTGTGGCTGCTGTGTTGGTGCTGCCTTGTGCTTCGCTGTGCTGTTGCCCTGCTGGTTGTCCGCTTGCCTATCCATGTGCCGTGCCTTCCGTGTTTCTTCCTTGTGTGCCGTGTAGTATGGCTGCTGTGTTGGTGCTGCCTTGTGCTTCGCCGCGCTGTTGCCCTGCTGCTCGGCCGCTTGCCGTGTTGTTCCTTGCAGTCGTTTTTGGCGTTGTGCAGTCGGGTTGCTCCGGCAGCATTGCCTGGTGCTTCGCTGAGTTGTTGCCCTGCTGCTGTGTTCCGCTTGTGGACAGTCTGCCTTCAGCATGGGTCAAAGGGTTTATGTCCCAAACCATCAATACGGAGATTCCGCAGGTTGTCGAGGGTTCAGCCTCCTGATGAGTTAGTGAAACTCCGACGTAACAATCTATCATCAGTTTTATTTTTTTGGTCTTTGCATTGTTCTTGGGACTTGTACTTTTTTTACTGGCTTGGCTGTTTTCTGTGCTGTCTTCTGCCCTCCCGCAACCCCCGTGTCCTCCAACCTTTGTCCTTCGCTGCTAGCTGTCATTCTATGCCTAGTTGGTTGTCTTGTGTTGTTCTTTTTCTTGCTTTGTTGCCCTGTGTTGTTTGTCTGCCCACTCGCCTCCCCCACGCCCTCCAGCCAATGTCACTTGCTGCCGCTGGTCATCCAATGCCTTTGTGGCCTTATGTCTTTTGCTTCATGCACACACACACACACACAACCCTTTCTGTGCTCTCCTCTTCTTTTTCCTCCCTCGCGGACCATGTACACTCGGCTTAGCAATCTCACGAGACGTTCTTGCCCGTAATCGAACCTAGCAGGAGTTTCCGTCGAATGTGCTGTCCCTGCTAGTCCTTCGGATCGCCGACAGAATGTCGGAGCTAGCCTGGCGTGGTGGTTCGTGCTGTGGCGTGCCTAGAATACACACCCATACACATGCACTCACACACACACACACATGCACACACACACACACACACACGCACGCACACACACGCACACACGCACACACACACACACACACACACACACACACACACACACACACACAGATGTGGATTATCAACATGCGCCTCATTGTTCTGTAGAACTGCAAATTCGAGACTGGTCAGTATAATATTGAAGGAACAGCTCACTTAGCACTTTGGTGGACTCTGCTGGACTTTCCTTATCCTCGACATCTGCCCTCATCCACGCCTTCCAGTTCCTTAGGGTATATTGACGCTAGGACCATTTGTACTGAATCTGGCCACAACTGAAACTCTTGAGTGCAAGGTACGCGCTTAGTCACCTATAATGGTCATATGGCCCATGATGTTCCTAAATCGCTTCTAAGCTCATGGACAAAACATCTGCATCTGGAAGAGAGAAAAGGTGAGCAATCTTCACCATCCTGAAATCCCATCCTTCCTCCTAGACCTCCTTTCTCATCCATGCTTGCATCCGCTTGCCTTGCGTGTGCCTCTGGACAAACCTCTTGGTAAACCCAACAGTGCCCTAGACCGCTATCAATTTTCCTCAGCTTACAGAACTGACAAGTTCAACCTAAAATCTGATGGATCTTTTGGTTGCTGGTCTTTTAAGTATTGTTTACACAGGAAATGGAGTTCCCTTGCCCCCTTCTAGAAATCGGTGAAGGTTAAAAAATAAAATAAAATAAAAACATGCCATGACTTCGCCCTTGTGACATCAACATGGTGTACACAGTAAAGTTCTCCCAGATTTTGATAGGGTATGCAGAGAGCCGCTGATGTCAGTTGTTTTTCTTCTGATGTGTTACTTAAAAAAAAAAGAGGCCTTGAACTCGTTGACGAACTTCTAGAGGTGCACACCATTCATTCTAGGCAGGGAGCTAGAGCATACTCACACTGGGATGTGGATAATACAATAGTCAGGTGTCACGGACTTCACTTCTCACAGCAAAAAAGAAAACACCCGAATGTCGCCGATGACAACGCCACCAGTGCTCAGCTCTCCCATCCTGCTGCTCAGGCTAAGAGGAGTTCCAACTCCCCAAATCACTTGTTTTGTCTAGCTTGGGTGCTGTTTCAAAAAGCTGGGGCGTGCTTGGGTGAGTGCGTGACTGATTTTGGCCTTATTTGCAGTTGTACAAGACTACAAGTGTGTGCATGCCCTCAGAGATCCGTACATTCTGACTGTTTCTGAGTTATTAATAGATTGAAAACCTCGTACCGTACATGGGAAAGGTATCTTTTATGGCTCATCTGCACGCCAACTTGTGGCCAGAGTTGTGTTTCCAGAAAGAGAGAACCCCCCACATGTCACACCTGTTCTTTACAGATCTTCATTGTCTTCAACTGGCGTAAGGTCAATCTCCATATCTTGCTTGCCTTTAGTTACGCTCTGTGATGAAAAAGACACATGCCACAGTAGTGTTGGTTAGGATGGGAGTCTTCAATCTGGTCAACTCAGCATGTCCCATATTGGGTGATTGCAAGCAAGCTCTTAGAGAACATCTCACACCTCACATCATCTCATTTCTCTAAGTTTCTTGTACTTTTCCTTCTTCACTTCTCTCCTCCCCCAGTGCCTCTGTGTGTGTGTGTGTGTGTGTGTGTGTGTGTGTGTGCCCCACACCATTCACATAACTAGTCGTAGTTTCTACATTGTGGAAGTCCAATAACAATGTCCTTCACCGCTCCACTCACCCAAACCTCCCCTGGGTGAAAGAAGAGGCTCTGAAGGCCAACACCTTTGAATGTGTACCAAGTGGAAGCTCCTTGAGAGTGACTGTATAGACCCACCATGATTTCTGCTAAGTGCTCACGGTGTCCCAGCTACTAAGAAATCAAAATGCGGCTTGCATGCAGCCGCAACTTTTGGGAAGTACTGGGGTGCCGTTTTGCTCGACATCCATCGAGGCAAAACGGGCCTCACATGCGACCCGTTTTGCCTGGATGGATATGCAGCGAAACGGCGTCCCAGTACTTCCCCAGAGTCGCGGTTGCATGCACACCACGACTCTTAAAAAATGGCTGGGGACATACTGGTGGTTTAAGCTGTGGAAGACAATTAAGGAGCTTGGCAAAGTTGGCATTGATCCCTTAGAATAGGAAACAAAGGGCACATGTGGTTCACGGAGACCCGCCCCCACTTTTTCAGCTCTTGGGTAACGAGTCCAGAACTGAAATTACGGTTTGGGGTAAACAGTAGACAATGGACCATGTTTTCTTTGGCTAGGTGTGCCAGGAAAACTGGCTAGGAATTCCTGTTCAGCTCACTTTTTCGTCGTCAATCTTGAAAGCCCAGGCGGGAATGACAGTCAGGCTGTCCCCCACTAGATGGCTTCGCCTTCCCCTCCCCACAACAACACCTGGCAAATTGTTAGCATTCCAATGGCAGATTAGGCATAGGTGTGTAGCAACTGATGGGTCTGGTTTCAGAGCCCTAGGACTCTTGAGGTTATATAGCTTGTCCTACAGTAAGTAAAGGATAGCTTTTTTTTTTTCCAATTTTCATTAAAGAGAAACCTAGGCTACCAGCCAGGCCGCCCGAGTCACCCAGTTTTCCCGGGCGGCCCGGCCGTGCAAGGACCAGGGAAGGTCCCAGAAAAAAAAAAAAATCCAAAAATTCCGAAAAAAAACTATGTTATGCTGCTTATAGCCCGTTTGACCGCAGCAAATGATGTAAGGGACACCGGGCCTGTTTCCCGGATAWATGAAWATRAAAAAAAAAAAAAAAAAAAAAAAAATGAACAACTGCTGCCTCAGGGTCAAATCAAAATTCTTTACCAAATTTTAAATAAAAATTAAAATTGAAAAATGATCCAAATTTTTTTTTTTTAATTTTTTTTTTTGTTTTTGTTTTTGGCCCGGCCACTCTGGTAGCCTAGAGAAAAACACAAAGCTCCGATCTATTCGTGGGGAGCAGCACGTGCTGGGAACAAAACAATCTATCATCATCATTTTTTTTATTTATTTTTTTCAGTCTTTTGGTTTTGGTACTTGTCTTGCCCGTTGGTTGTTCTTGTTTCGCTGCCTTATGTGCTTGTGTGTTGTCTGCCCTCCCGCCTCCCCCTTGCCCGCCAGCCTGTGTTGTCTCGATTTTTTTTTCTTCCCTCCAGTGCCCTCCAGTTTATGTGCCCTGTTGTGGCTTGTCATCCAACAGTGCATTGGTTCCCTGCCCCTTGGCTTCTCGTCTTACCTTCCCCCCTTCTTCTGTGTTTGTTTGCGATATGCTATTGTGTGGGTTCTGCGTCATACCCCAGCAGCATTCGAGGTAATGATGCTCCGGCATAGTTTCCCCCACCTTCCGCAGATGCATGCGTCTGTCCCACGCCTACAAGTAGTTCCACGAAGCACACTAGACGTTTTTGCCACGCTCTGCTCTGAGTGACCATGGTGTGCTGACGTTTTTCAGCATTGGAGCTTGCGTGGCATGGCGTTCGTGCCATGGCATGCCTGCCTGCACACACCCTCAAAGCACATACACACACACATGACGGTGCACATGTTTATTGCCTTCAACGTGTCTGCTACAGTTTCGGATACGTGGGTGTATCATGTATGTAGACGGCTCTCGCCGCACGTGTGCTGCAGATTTGTTACATACAGTGCGAGTGCGCACCAGGCGGACAGACGCGTGGGCACTAACTACTGAACCACAAAGATGTGGAGAACCTTGTGCTCTTAAATTTGTGTTGTATTGCTTTATAGTTGCTCAGAATGGAAACACAGAGAGATCTTCCGACTCTCTTAGATGCTCTCTATGATGGAAAGCATAAATGTAACAGGAGACAATGAGGAGAGGAACATTTAATACTTACACCTAAAGCAATAAGTTCCTTGAGCAAACTTGCCAGATGGCGCAGGGGCTGGTCACATACAAGAGATCCAACATCGGAATCAAATCAATCAGGAACTTGCAATATAAGTGATGAAAGCTTTATCATATGAACACAGAACAGTCCCTGTTCTCTCTCCTCTCTTTCTATTCCCTACCTCACTTCCCCATATCTCTTTTGTTCTCCTATTTCCCTGTGTTATGATACTGGCCAATTTCGAAGTACACGTTCATCAGAAAGTAAAATGTCATCCAATTGCAAAAAGAAATGAAGTTCAATGAACTTGAGAGGAGAGAGGGGGAAAGAAGAAGAAGATGAAAGAAAGAAGAAGGAGATGTACACCCGCAAAGACCAATGAGAATTACCTTCTTATCACCAACCACTCTCCTCCTCCTTTTTTCTCCTCCCCTTATATTCAAACAATAAACAACAATAATAATGTTGAATGGCTGATCCAGAATCAACGTTCGAATCCCTCTTCTAATGCAGGCACATCATGAGGTCCACCATAGCCATGGCCACCCTTCTTCTTCCTCTTCATGTAGGCCACGGCTATGGCTGACTACTAGGGCCTCACTCTGCTGTGCAAAGGACAACACAAGGCAGCTATGCTCGCTGCTGTTCAGGCCGTCATGCCTGACCCCGCCTTGAAGCCTTCTTGGTGCGGCAACCCCAACTTGGGCCTTCCAGATGCAGTACCTAACAAGGTGATGAAGATGGTGCCCACCATAGCCAGGTAGGTACCTCACGACTTTCCTCCTCACTCCTCTTCTTCCTCCTCCTCCTACCGGTAGAGCTCCACCGTAGCCGAGGTGGGAGCTACCGGTCTCCTTCCTCCTAGCACCGCTGAAATGCCCAGCGCTCCTCCAGCCAACGCTCCAAGCAGTGTGTCGCCAAACTTGCACACCGAAGAATGAGGAGGAACACTTTGCTTCTCCTGGAGATATAGCGGCCTACTTGCCTGTTGGGCGGTGACTTCCTAGGCTGCATGGCCTCCAAGCAACCGGTACCTCCTCCCTTTCGGACGGAAACATCATTGCAGACTCCGATATTGCCCGTACAGGCCCTAGACTCAGACTGGTCGGACTGGTACCCGCCTAGATCTAGCCTACAACTACTGGGCCTCTAAAATTGCCAACTTTTGTCTTCTTCTGCTCGGCCTCGAGTACCCGGCACATCTACTTCTACTTGGTGTGGTACCGGCCTACCTGCTACTTGAGTGTTTTCCCGCTGCCCTAAGTGTCATGGGCCTAGAGTGTTTTTCCTCCGCTGCAACCTCAATGCTACGGCCACATGTAAGTACCGGCCCTACGGGCCTCCAAACAAGCAAGTACCCTTGCGGGTCACACACACAGTCAGGCCGACCAGCACTCAGACAGGCATGCAGACCTTCAAGCACGCACACACACACAGACTTAGAAAAACTCAGCAGAATGCGGGAATCTTAGCAAGTCATCCATTCCAGCGGCAGAACTCAGAAATCAGCAGTGTTCTCAGTCTCCGTTTTGGCGGGTCATTACGCCTGTCTGATGTGACAGCTTTGTCGCCAAACTTGTAAATTCTTCGCACACAGAGTTAATCGCACATTTTTACCTCTATACTTCAGCTCCTTCCTGGTGCATCCTCTGCAAGCATGCACCTTGGGCGAGAACAACACGTCCACTCAACTGACAGCATTTCTAGAACGAAGTCAAAGCACGGAGGCATTATGTCAAGAACCCTCTGCGAGTTTTGCACATATCAACATCAGCCAAGTTTATAGTACTTTATACCCAACGTCCTCTCAGCTAGGGTCTGTCAGATATCCTTAAAGCTCGAGACTTTTGAGAGAGGCACGATCCTGTCCACACGCGATCGCCTCTGTTGCTGGGGTCTGGTGTTGTCTCTCCGATATCCTTGCCCTTCTCCTTCCATGTGTGTCTTGTTGCCGTCTTCTTCCGCTGTTCCCCTGGTTGCCCTGTTATCCCAGATGGTAGCCGGTATTTCTTGTGTCCGGGAAATCTCCCAACCTGTTGCCATGTCTGAGTTGTGCCAGTCTTTCCACCTCAGACTGAGACCATTTAAACATGCGACTTTGCTTCCTACCAGCCATATCCGCTTGAATTTTGCTAGCACCATTTGTTTTGTTTCCGGACTGTTCTGCACCCAGATTTTGACCTTCTTCAACTGGCATAGAATCTCCACCTTTACCATCCCTTTGGTGGCCGCCCAGACCTTCTCCGGTGGATTCTTGGAGCCCTCCAGCGTTCTGCAGCATCTCTCTTTCCAAATTGTCCGGAGCTTGAGTTTGCGTATCATTCCGAACCAGATCCTTTCCGATTTGCTCAGGTTAGGGGGTAAGTTATCCAGAGGAGGAGTTGAAGGGGGTGTTCGGGTTACGAAAAGGCTGTCCCATAGGTCAGATGCCCTTGCCCAATATTCTGTGGCTTCTTTGCATCTAATTAGGCAGCATATTATATCCTCTTGTTCCTGGTCTGAGCAGGCTCTACAGATATCAGAGCTGTTCGGATCATTCCCGCTTCTTCTGGCGTGCAACCACTGATTGACCGGCAGGGCAGCTTTGTGTTAAAAGCCACTGCATGCTTCTGAGTTTGATTGGTCTTATGGCTTTATATTTTTTCCATGGTATCTTAGAATCTTAGATATTTGTTCTGAGTCAGTCCCAATTAGCTTGTGCCATGAGTCCCAAATCTATCCCTGTGGTACTGAAAGAAAAAGACAAACTTCATAGGGTCCCTACTCAGCTAGTTCTATTTCAGAATGAAAAGACAAAGGCACTGTCAAAAGATTTGCAATGCTAATCAAGATATTTCCATCCATCCATCCATCCATCCATCCTTTAGGTGAGAGAGCCATGCAGCACCATGCACTCCACCATGAGGCTCCCCCAGTCACACAATACTTACCTGTGTAGCCCCGACTCTGAGATGAATTACAACTCACCCCCCTCTCTCATATGTCCAACCTCTACACTAGTGTCCAGCAACCTAGGAGGGCCCACTCTACACCAATATACACCGCCTGAAACACGTGAGAGGTAGAGGAGAGAGAGAGAGAGAGAGAAATGAGAGGAGAGGGAGAGAGAGTGAGAGCACATACACACACTCACTCACTCGACACAACCGACGGACGGGGGAAGAGAGAGTCGGGGGGGGGTATAGGTAGCGGGAGGAAAAAGAGAATCGGTGGGCGGGGGAAGAGTAGTAGCGGGGAGGACGAGAGAATCAGGGGGGGGAAAGAATCGAGGGGGAAGGAAGAATCGGGGGGGGGAGAAGAATCGGGGGGAGGAAGAGTAGTAGCGGAGGGGGAAGAGAGAATCGTGGGAGGGAAAGTAGTAGTGGGGGGGAAGAGAGATTCAGGGAGGAAGGAAGAATCGGGGGGAGGAAGAGTAGAAGGAAAGAAGAAGAACGAAGAAGTAAAAAAAAAAATAAAAAAAAAATGCACGTACCTGGACGTGACATCGGCGAGGATCAGGGTGGGATCTGCGACAGGGAGGACGACGGGCAAGGCGAAGTGGTGATTCCGGAGGTCCGTGCAGGGCGGCGCGGTGAAGCTCCCTTTGTCGAAGATCACAGAGATGGCTGCTCCTCGTCGAAGAGTGTGGCGAAGTCGTGTCCAGGCCCAACGAGGTTCGATGGACTTGGTCTTGAAGCCGGGCGGGAGGGAGGGTTACAAGACTGCTCCGATACCAGTGTAGCACAAGAGAGACAGAGGAGAGCGAAAGAGGAGAGGGAGAGAGAGTGAGAGCACACACACACACTCACTCACTCGACACGACTGACAGACTCGACGGACACAGACAAAGTCGTGAGTCTCAAAGTCGAAGTCTTGAATTAACGATGACGGAGGGGCAAGTCACACAAAGCAAGCACAGTAGCTCAAAACTGGTTGCCCGATGGTACGGGCGGCCAATGTATATATCGGTTGGTCGTGCCAAGGGGGAACCGGTGTCGTGCGCATCGGTCTCATAGGGGCACACAGGATTCGTGCAGGACTTTCTTACCTCGGTGCAATGGAGCTTTTGTCGCCGCTCCGACCGAGTGCGCCAGCCATACCTCTCGCGAACCCCTACAACAGGACAGGGCCACGCGAGGTACAACTTACCTCCACCTGTGAGAGTTGTCACCATCCCTTAGGTAGGCGTATCCCCACCGAGCTACTGAACCACGTGCGAAAGCTAATCAGTTGCAATCGCAGAGGTGGCCCAGCCAAGGGTGTTTCTCGTACGCTGTAGCATAGGGGGTACGCGGGGTCCCACGCCTCTATCGGACCCGTACGCGAACCGACGCATTGGGGGGCTGAAGTCCCAAGCGCGACTCGTCGTCGGTAAACTAGGACGCATCCTTCTTACCACGCGTCACACCACGCCAAAGCAAAAAGTCAGATTACTCACACAAGACAAAACACTCCTAGTCCCTGTAGTATCCGACCCATAATCTTTTGACATGGAAATCGGTTCGGCGTTGCGCGCGAGACTTAAGATAAAACCGCTCGAACGCATGGCTTTTTCATATCGATTAGCCATGCATGAATACGCGAGTAGTCACAGTGATGGCGTACTATGTAGTACCCATAATCGTGTGGCCCTCAATGGTCTCGAGGGTCGCGTTCGACACGCAAGTGTTTGCTGTCACGCGCCTTGAGGGGTTAATCTCTTGACGCTAGACAACCGCCAAGGTGGTTGGGCACCACACCCTCTTCTACACCCAGCGGAGAGTGGGTGGTACATAGGCTCCTGCCTGTTGTGGCAGTCTACCCTTATGGCCATGGAGGCAAGCTCCATCGTCCAGGGCCTGGAGATGAGTCAAGGGGTTTGACTTTGACGGCTGCCACGGACTTCAACGTCCAACTATAATAATTCTAAGAAGCAAAAGATATAAGGGGGTCTCCCTTTTCTCTCAAACGCAAAATCAGCCCAACCCTTATGCACGGTCGCAGTAGGGCGCGTAGACACTTTATTTATATATATATATATATATATATATATAAAGTTTTATAAATACGAGACAATCACTTCTCACAATCACAGT